TCTCGACTCAGTGCTTTTAAAACTCTAAGTTGTAATCTATTAATTGTCTATGAAATCAATCTGGGGTTGCAATCACATTTTTTAAGGTAAAGAATTCCTTTGAACAAATCAGTGGGAATCACCTGCAGCAGGTTAAACAGGGTTTTGTGAAACTTGATTGCGTGTGTGTGTGTGTGTGTGTGTGTGTGGTGGGTCAGATGCAAAATGTGCTTCTGTGGGTCACGGTCACAGGAGGTTCAAGGGCATCCTTATCACCAGCTAAACCAGGTCTGAGAACTCCGGAGCTGCCTTTGATTTCCCGCCCTCCCGCCCTCCCCTCTTTTCCAATTAATCAGTGTTTCCTGTGGGTCTGTCACTCACCATCCCGACTCCATGAATAGCCACTTAACCTAAACCCGTGTCCTCTCCGCAGCCACTTTGCCCTCGGAACTGGGCTCCCCAGGCCCCAGCCCCTGCTGGGGTTTGGTCACTGTCTTTGTTTCCTGAAACAGGACACCCCTCTCGCCATCCCTCCTTCATCACCCAACCAACCAACACGAGGTGAGCACCTGTGTGCTGGGCATCCTCCAAGCCAACAAGGCCAGCTCACCTTCACGCCTGCTGTGCCGCCCCGTGCCCCAGCCTCATTGCTGCACCCCTCCCATTGCCTGCCTTTGCTGCTGCTGGTCCTCAGCAGGGCGCAGAGCGCTGGGACCGAGGGGTTGGATTTTGATTCAAATCCTGGCTCTGCCCCTGCCTGCCGTGTGACCATGGGCAGGCCGTTAGGAAGATTGGGGATGATGCGAGCCAAGTATCTCGCCCACAGAAAGTGCTGGGGAAGTGGCGGCCAGTCTGACAAGGAGACACGAGGACTCTCCTCCCTGCCTTGACTACCCTTCCCCAGGCCGCACTCCAAGGAGCGTTCCTTCTCCTCCTCCTCTCAGGAGTCTGTTTCTCACTTTCCCAGCAGAATGAATCCTCCTTCCTCTGACTGAGACACTGACAGGCTCACCACAAGAGCTCCCAGGGGAAACGGAGCAGGCGGGTCAGCTCTGCTCTCTCTGTGCCCGGAAGGCCCATGTGCTCTGCCTGGGAGACCTGAGAGGCTTCTCTGCAGAGGGCAGCGGGCAGCCAGGGGAGAGCGTGGAGCGGAGGGCATTCCAGGGACAAGATGGCAAGCAGGGAGGTGAGAGGCCTCCAATCCTGACTGTGCCTCCAGGTGCAGCCCTGAAGCCGCCTGCAGTTCCTGTGGGCCGAGGGCTCCCGCTCAGGTGGGGCTTTCTCTCTGCTGTTCCCGTTACTGCGTGTGTGCTCCTGCATCACCACCCAGCGCCATCCTAGGGGCAGGATCCTCCTCTGCCCCCACAGAACACAGTGTCCTGCTCACGGTATTACTCAGCGCATATCTGCGGAAGGAAGGTGTGAGGGAACAGACAGGGAAGGAAGGAGTGGTGTGAGTATTCTGCTCCCCGGGAAAGTGCAGTGAGGTGGGATTGAGGCTCCTCTTCTCCTCCGTAAGTCTAGGCTTATTTACCCAAAACCCTGTTGTTTAGACACTTGATTCTGAGAAGGGAGGTCCATGAGAGTAAGACAAGCTGCTAGACACTGGAAGCAATGTATCCTCCTCTGTGAATAAGCAACTTGACTTGGAGGATATGCCACTCTGGCAGAGACTGTCCATCCTCCCCTTCTTTGGTAGGGAGTAATATCCTCAACTAAAAGACTACATTTCCCAGACTCCCCTGCGGCTGGGGCTGGCCAATGAAATGTGAGCAAAGTCCTGGTGGGCCTTCCAGGAATCTGTTAAAAGGGAGATGACTCTGCAGGAAGGGCACCAAGTCCAGGGCTGCTGCACTCTCCCTTGTCTGGAAAGTGGACACGCAGGCAGGAGCTCCTGTATCCAGGTGATGCTGAGGATGGGGCACCTGGTGACCCCCACACCAGGCCTGGCGTGCCTTCAGCCATTCCTCCTTACATGAGAGAATAAGCCTTTAAGTTGCTTAAGTCACTGTAGTGGGGACTCCATTCCTCACAGCAGAATGCAATTCCTAGCTGATACAGTTTCATTTGAACTTAGAGTGAATCAGTGACTCAAATAGGTAAGTTGATAGAATTTTCTAAATCAGCAAAGCCAAGGTCCAACCATTCCATTTTGGGTATCCTGTCAGTTTAGGACCCTCAGACTGAAGGTGGGGGGGCACCCAGCACAGCACGGCAGGGGGACTATGGCTTCTTTACAGCCACGGCACTCTGCAGGGGCTCAGGGAGCTGGCTCTACCTGCCGGCTAGGTGTGCTGACCCAGGGCAGGCTCCACGTTCACTGAGGACACCCCCACACAAGCAACCGTCCACTGGGCTGCCGAGCCAAGGGCCTGGGGCTTCCCGAGTTTCCAGTCTGTACTGAGGTGGGAGTGAGGTGAGGTCCTGTGAGGCACACCCAGGAGCCTGGAGCAGGAAGCAGATGGGGCAGGTGGCAGCCAAGGACCCAGAACTGATGAGCATCCTCCTGGCCAGCAACATCCCCTTGGCATGGGCTGATGTGCATGCACGTGTCAGTCTGCTGTCCCCAGAGAGAAGGGGGACCAGAGGGTGAATTAAAGCAAAGATTTACTCTGGTATTGGAATGGAGCAATGTCATATGGCCTGCTCACCTAGGACAGCCTCAGTTCCTTCTTCTCTAAAAATGGGAAGTTCATCCTCTGAGGGATGTGAGGAGAACATGAATTACCAGAGTGAAGCCACTGCGCACAGCTCCTCATGGGGACCAATCCTTTCATTCCTGCTGTATGGCCTCCCCTGAGTCCCTGAGCTGCCCCGTCTCTTGGCAGGTGCCTTGGGCCCACAGTGGGCTGGGAAGAGTGTGGGGATCAGGGCTCTGCACTCCTGGGGGGCTCTGCTGCCATCAGCTGTCTCGGGTCAGGTGACCCGCTCAAGTTGCCCAAATGAGGGTGCCCTGGCCCCCAGAAGGTTGAGCCCGGGGAAGCCAGAGACATGCTGAGGCAGGTGGTGAGGAGTGGGAGGCTGGAGAGGCAAGTGCAGGAGCACATGCAGAGCAGGGAAGTCGAGGTTTCTCCTGCGCCCACTTCACCCTGCACCCGCAGAATGGGACTTGAAGCCTGCCCTGCCACACGGGCAGGGAGGAAGGAGGGCTTGGGGAGGTAGGGAAAGAGGAAGAGAGCAAGGAAAACAGCGAGGCCCAGGACAGGCCTGTCAGAGGCCCTGGGAGGGCAGAAGGGGTTGCCCTGGTCAGAGGGCCTTGCAGACACTGGCTCTGAGGGCTGTGGCCAGGGAGGGAGGAGGTGCTATGGCTTCTGGGAGACTTAAGCCTTAGGGAGACACCACAATGGAGTGTCTGACTGTAGCTCCGTTGCCCCTTTGAGGTCCATTCTGAAGCTCCCGTGTGTGGGGGTGCTACCCACAGGCAAATGGCAGGCCTCAGAGTCCCCAGATCCAGGGTGACAGGTCCACTGTAAACGTTACACAGAGCTGTTGTCACTCCCATGCCCTTGCTCTCTGCTCTCTCTCTGTAGGCCCCAAATAGATGGCTGGGATCCGTCTTTTGTGGGTCTTTATTATAAGACAGAGTCCTGAGCTGGAGAAGAGGCTCAGTGGGGCCAAGTATCTAAGCCTTGAGCTGGAACAAGGCCAGGACCAGGAGAGCCGAGCACCCCTCCCTCCGGCAGGCGCAGGGGGGCCCTGGGGCTTCTTCACTGATGTTTGCTGGGGAGGAGGCCCGTGAGGAAGGGCTGGGGAGGACTTTGGGAAGAATCCTGCACCTGGTACAGTGACAGGCTTCTCTCCCAGACCCCTGCTGGACCCTGGCAGGGACAGGAAGTGGCCTGGACCTTTCGGCATAGAGCCCAGCCCAGAAGTACACCCAGATCCACAGCAACGGGCGTGAAGGCTGAGGCAGTGGCCTCAGGCTCCACCACACACCGGAGTCACAGGGTGGGCCATCTCCAGAGCTGCGGATTCCCTTGGCCTGTGGTGGGGCCTGGGAACATGTGTTTCTACCAAACTCCCAGATGCTGCTGGTCCTCCCACCACACTGTGAGGCCTAAGGTTAAAAGGGGGTAGGAGGAAGGGTTGAGTTGGGAGGGCCCAGGCTTGTGGCCCTTGGTGGCACCTGGGTATGCTTAGGGAGGGGCAGGTTTGGGTGGGTGGGTAGGAGTGTGTGGTGGAATGATCCTGAAATGGTCACAATGGTTCTAGCCTCTTCGAGTCATGCCCTGTGTAAGCCCATCCCCTTGAGTGTAGGCTGGACCTAGTAACTTGCTCCTAGTGAATGGAATAAGGTCTAAGTGACCAGATGTTCCTTCTGAGATTAGGTTCCCAAGATTCTGACCTCTGTCTTGCTCTCTTCTCTCTGCTCGTCTTGGCTCTCTTGCTCTGAAGAAGCCAGCTGCCGTGTTGAGAGCTGCCCCCTAGAGAAGCCCACCTGGCAACCGATCTGGCCAGCAACCATGTGAGTGAGTTTGGAAGCTGAGCCGCCTCTAGTTGAGGCTTGAAATGACTTGAATGGAGCAGCCCTGGCTGATCCCTTAATTCAGCCCCATGAGAGACCCTGGGCCAGACTCACCCCGCCTAGCCATACCCAGATGCTTAGCCCAGAAACTGGGAGATGGTAAGTCTTGTGGTTTTAAGTCATTACATTTTGGGATAATTTGTTATGCAGCAATAGGTAACTGCTACAGAGTTATTGAATGAATGAATTTTAAAAAAACCCACAAAACCAAAAATGGGTGGACAGATGGCTGAGCCTGGATACCTGCCAGGTGCTGCTTATATCATTGGTGTCTCTGGCTTGGGTGCTATTTCCCTCGTGCCCTCTTATCACCGACACTGCGCAGGCCACGGGGCAGAGGGTCCAGAGTGAGGAAAGAGGAGCCTTGTCATGATGCTGCTGCTTCCAGAGCCTGGGCACTAGCCTCGGACTTACCCAGGAGCCTGAATTCCTGGCCTGGAGTTCAGGGTCCTAGAGCATTGGTCCTCATTCTGTGAGACTCACACCTGTTTGACTCAGTGAATAAACTCTGCCCTGAGCATGGACAGAGTGAGGGAGGGTAGGACCGGGCAGCAGGACTGCTCAGCGGCCCCGGGCCTCAGCCCACCACACTCTCCGGAGAAGGCCGCTCTCCCTGGGCTCACTCGCCTCGCCCAGCAAATCCTCCATTTCCTCCAGGACCCAGGCTCTCCAGCTTGACTTTCCTCCCAAACCTCGCAGAGCCTGTTTTCCTCTGGTATAAAATGAAACTAATAACATCACCAGAGCCATCTCCACCCCACGCCCCCGCCCCGTCCCCCACCTCTCCTTTCCTGGGGCCTCCCAGTGTTGGGAGAGGAGGAGGGGGAGCATGGGCTGTGGGAAGCCAGGGTGACCAGGCGCAGTGGGAGCTGGGGCTCTGGAGGAGTTCCGAGAGGTCACACCCTATTAATGAAGATCTCACTTGTGCTCTGCTTCGTTATACAAAGGATAATGTTATAAAATAATACAATAGTTGAGAAGACAGGGGTGAATAAGCTAAGTAAGCACATCCTTTATAGTAAAATAGAAGAGTCTAAATAGCTGTTTGCTACCACATATTATCCAGTTGTGCCCACTGCTGTCATGATTGGAGAAGACATGTGAGTACAACAGGACCGCCGTGAGTTACACCAAGGGCCCCTTGGGAGTGCCCGCCGCGGGCCCCACTCCCTGCAAGTTTGTCCTGCTGCCTCTCAGGCCGGGTCAGCAAATGATGGCCCGCAGGCCAAATCTGGCTCTTGAGCTAAGAATGTGTTTCTATTTTCAAATGGTTGGGAAAAAAATCAAAAGATTAATAATTCTTCATGAGACGTGAAGATGATGTGAAATTCGAATTTCAGTATCTGTAATTAAGCTTTATTGGAACAAAGCCACGCTCATCCCTTGCATGCTGTCTGCAGGCGGCGCTGGGCAGAGTAGTGCTCTGGTCTAAAACGCCTAACCCGCACTCTCTGGCCCCACAGGAGCCATTGCTTTCAACTGCTCCAGAGCCCGGCCTCTCAGGTGTGGCTGCCGCACCCCCCCCCCAAGTGTCCAGCCTTCCGCACTCTCTCTGAAACTCTGGCGCTTGAAAGCCAACACCACGGGCACCTGCAGAGATGCCGTCTCAGTTCCCCAGGGCGCAGGGGTCAGGGCATGAATGATTGAGAGCACTAGCTAGGCCCAAAGCCTCTTTCCAACCACTGGTTTCATTTTTGTCATCACCCATTCCCCTCAGAGCAATTGAGAAATACTGAATAAACTGGGCTCTGTCCAGGGAAGAGTGGCAAGGCCAAAAGGGGGCATGAAAGGGACAGGAGGAAAGGCAGCGCAAGGGATGGCTGGCAGTTCGCGTCTGGCAAGAGACGCCATGATGTCAGCCGGCCCTCAACTCCTGAAAGAGGAAAATGGACAAAACCCTCTGCTTCTTCACTCCTGCTGCCGAGACAGGCTCCGCAGGAGCGGGCCATTCAAAATCTCTCCTCAAGGAGTTGGATTCCATCACCCACTGGTGCCCCTTCCTCAGCTGCCCTCTTTCTCACATCTCCTTCCTATGCCCTGGTTCCTGCCATGTTCTCACGACTCCTTTGGACTCTGAGGCCAGAGCACAGACACAGCCATGGCCACGGCCTCGGCACCCCCGCCTGCTTCCCCAGCTCTGCCGATACCCCAGGCACCGAGCGTCTGGGGCCTTACACATCGTGTGGTGCAGCCCCCTCATTTTAGAGAGGAGGAAACTGAGGCACGGCTAATGGAAGCCGCTTCACCCAATCACATAGCTAGTCAGGGGCGAAGCTCACTCTGGACCCAATACTATTTCCCTTCCACTGAGGTTCAGCTTGGAGGATTTTTCAATGCTTCTGGCTTGTTTCAAGGAAATATTTCATGGGAAGCTATTCAGGTTGGGCTCAGGTTTGAATAGGCTTCCTTTTAGTTTGATTCCTGGCTACATAATTAATATCGGGGCCCAGTTTTGGGCTTGGCAAAACAAAATTATGATTGCACCTTCTCTTTCGCCTTTGTGAGCACGAGTGGGGTCCGAGGAGCCATCACAGGCCAGGGGAGGTTATACGTGTGAGCCGGGCTGCGACATGAGAAGGGCCACCTCCATTCCTGTTCCCCGCTGGCACACCAAGGCGCAGGGCTGGAATAGAACTGTCCACGAGGGAGGGCCAGGCAGGGAGACAGCACAAAATGGGGAAGATCTGGCCCTCTGGGCCCCAGGAAGGTAGAAGGGGAGGGTCTATGGTCTGAAGGTGTCCCCCAAATTCACATGTGGAAACCTAACCTCCAAGGTGATGGTCAAAGGTGGAACCTTTGGGAGGCGCTCAGGCCATGAGGGCAGAGCCCTCAGAAATGGTTTCAGTGCCCTACGAAGGAGAGCCAGAGAGCTCCCCTGTCCCTTCTTCCACATGAGGATGCGATGAGAAGTTCGAGACCCGGACGAGGGCCCTCATTCAACCATCCTGGCTCCTGACCTCGGATTTCTGACTCCAGGACTGTGAGCAACAAGTTCCCTTTCTGCCTCCAGGACTGTGAGCAACAAGTTCCCTGTTTATAAGCCCCCAGCCTGTAATTGCTATAGCAGCCTGAGTGGACAAGCGGGGAGGGGAATGCGATAGAGGGGTGAGTAATGAGCAGTAGGAGAGAGCGTAGGACTCTGGGAGGAGGCCCCTCTGAGGCCATGCCCTCAATGACAGCCACGGGCCCGAGAGGTAGCTGGGCTGAGCCTCTCCTCATTATGTGGACAATTTCCAACCAACTCCGGGAGAAGGCCTGAATCGTTACAAAATCAAGAATATTTCCTATGACCATCTGAGTTGAAAGGAGCCTGAATTTTGTAATCTTTATATATATATATATATATACATACACATATATATATATATTTTTTTTTTGATTTTTTACAGAGAGGAAGGGAGAGAGATAGAGAGTTAGAAACATCGATGAGAGAGAAACATTGATCAGCTGCCTCCTGCACACCTCCTACTGGAGGTGCGCCCGCAACCAAGGTACATGCCCTTGATCAGAATCGAACCTGGGACCTCTCAGTCCCCAGGCCGACGCTCTATCCACTGAGCCAAACCGGTTACGGCCTGAATTTTGTAATCTTGCTATGTTGATTTTGGGTTTAAGAGACGATCCCATTTTCTGCAGACCTTTCACTCTAATGGGCTCTAAAGCAAGATTGCTTCCTGGGGCCATCAGCCCTTTCTCCTAAGACATGGCTACTGGAGGACTCGGCTTACTCCTACCCCCACTTCCCAGCATCTTACCTCCTGTGGTCGCTCTGAGATCAGAATGAACCCATTGTTGTCCACGATGAAGCAGTCCAGGTCCTGAGGAGAAACCCAGAGGGAGGTGAGCTCTTGCCCTGCCCCGGCCCCCTGGGTCCTCTGCCTGGCCTGGCATTTGGGAAGGCAGGCTGCCATGACTAGTGAGAAGGTCCCTTCATGGAGCCCAGCACTGCAGGAAAGAAGGGCACTGGGGAGGGAGGGCGCTGGCTCATCCAGAGGACTGGGGTGCGGGGCCCATGGCTCCCACTCCCCCCTCTTCACACTGGGAAGAACTTACACCATCCTGGCAGCTCTTTGGGCACGGCCCATCCCCCGCACTGCACTGGAAGGAAGAGAAATTGTCATTTGGGTATGCCCTTGTGTGTGTGGTAGGTATTTGGCGCGTGAGTGTGGGAGTGCTATGTGCGTTGTACATCTGTGTTGTGTGTTGATGTGTGGGGACTGGCGGATGTGTGTTTATGGTATACTAGTGGTACATGCACATGTGTGTCTATGGTATCTATGTTTGGTGTGTGTCCATGTGTGGTATATGTGTGGTGTGTGTGTGTGCATGTATTTGATGTGTGTGTGTGTGTGTGTGTGTGTGTGTGTGTGTATGGCGGTGTGCGGTAGTGGGCAGGGCACTGAAGCAGGATCCTTGCTGGCTGGGTCAGCCTTCCCGGAGGGAGCCATGGCCCTGCAGCTGTGGCCGAGGAGAAGGGGGGCCCTATTGCTGGAGGCCTCATGGGTGGCCGCCTACTGCTCTTTGTCATCCTGCTCGATGTGGTGGCTGATCCCAGGCTACTGGGCTGGTGCTCCTTCCCCCTCCCATTCCTTCCACCTTCATTTTCTGGTGTCCTACACTTGCTCAAAGTGGGGACGCAGCAACAAGTGAAGGGGGGCCATGGAGCAGAGGAGGCTCAGTGCCAGGGGCAGATTCGGGGCTGGAGGAGCTTGTGGAGGATAGTGAGGAGCCCTGTGCAGCCCAGGGGGAGCAGAGGCAGGAGAGGAAGGGTTGGGTGGGAGGGGCTGTGGTAAGGCCCAGCTCAGAGCGGGTGGGCCACAGACTGGGCTTGGATCTTGGCGGGGGGCACTGAGGAGGGCAGTTTCCTTACCCTGCTGTGTGGGGGATCTGAGCAGCAGAGACTAGTGACCGATAGTTCAGGGGATGCGGTGTCCTGCCCTTTGCCCCAGGTCTAAGCTGAGAGAGAGCACTGGGTGGGGAAGGCTGGGACCAGAGACTGAGGCCACAGGCAGAGCTCCAGGAGCTGAGAAAGGCAGAGGAGAGATCCAGGAGGACTGACAGAGGCCTAGCAAGCGGGCTGAGAGGCAGTGGGGCAGCCGGGGGAGTGGGTCTGACAGTGCCAGCCCCTCATCACCGTGGAAATGTGGGGAGCCCTCTGACCCGGAACTGACCTCCATCACACCCACCTGCTGCGTGGCTGCCCAGAACATGCGCTGCAGGAAGTCCAGCCTCATTTGGATGCCCACCGCTGTTTTGGGGGGAGGGGGTGGTAGGAGGGAAGAGGCAGTGAGAGGAAAAATAGATTACAGTTAAAGAGAGGGGGTACATCCGTAGGAACTGAGGGGAGAGGGAGCACCAGGGCAGAGAAGGGGTGGGGAGAGCTGAGTCAGACGGCAGCATGCGGACTGAGGTTCCTGGGTTTGGGGGAGGGAGAAAGGAAGAGACTGGTGGCTTCTGTCTCCCCGCAGAGGACGATGCCAGAAAACGGTCTAAGAGAAAGATGAGGCCTGCGTTCTAGAGAACGGTGAGGATGGCATTCATCCTCGGATCTCGGGGACTCAGGGCAGGTGCACTGGGCAGACCATTCCCCCTTTCCCACAGATGGAAAGGTAGAGGCTGAGAGACTGAGCCATTGGCTCAGGTCATGTGACCCAAAGTGGTGGAACTCTGGGCCGCTGCGGGTTGGGTAGCTCACGGGGCCTCCTAGTTGGCAGCCTGACCTCACAACCTCTCTTGTACCCAGAAAGCTAGAGACCGTCCAATCTGCAAAAACTACTCTTTTGATGATGCACTTACAAGGGCCACCATGCCTCTTTGGTTCCCAAATAGGTGTAGGGAACACAAGCTGGTGCTCACATCCTAAGAGAAATTCGGGGCCACAGAATAGAAGAAAAGCAGCTTATATTGAAAAAGAATTTGAAAACTAGGCCGACTTCCTACTGCCTGGTATAATAATACCGAAAACGTGTTGAGTGCCAGGGACGCTTATGTCCGCGAGCTTGTTTCATCCGCACGGCAGACCAGTTCTATTATTATTCAGGCTTCACAGCGGAGGAAACAGGCTTACAGAGAGTACACGCTCACCCAATCACCTGGCCCCTGGTACAGAACCAGGACACGTCTGTCTCCGAGGCTCTTAACCTCGATATTCCCTAGGCCTGACTCAGTCCTGGTGGTCGGGAAGAGTGAGAGGCTTCGGTTCCCTCATCTGTAAAATGGGAACACACCTGGGTTCCTAGCCATAGGCTGTCTTCATGAGACATTCTGCAGTCACCCCAGTGACATTCATTGGAGCGATTTTCCATTACAGCCATTCTGACCCCCGGAGACTCAGGGGGCTCTTCTGAAGTGGACTGGACCTCCAATATAGCACAGATATACAGAATCGTATCCTTTTGTTTTTTCAATATGAAATAATCCTGGAGAAATGTGATGGGGGAAAAGGGAGAGGGCAGGGAAGGGTCAGGGGCCAGATCCCAGCCCTGGGTTGCACTGGAGCCTCGATTTTCTGGCTTCAGCATCAGAATCACCTGGAAGGTTGGTTAAAACCCATCCCCAGAGTCTCTCATTCGGGTGGGGCCTGAGCGTTTGCATTTCTAAAGTGCTCCCAGGGCTGTCGCTGCTGCGCAGGGACCATATCTTGGGAACCACTGTTGTAAACCATCACTGTCTGGCTGCACTTTTGGAGATGATGAAGCTGTTCTAGATCTGAATTGTTCCACACAGTAGCCACTTGTCACATGTGGCTTTTGAGCCCTTGAAATGTGGCTACCGTGATTGAGGACCCGAGTCTTAAATTTTTTATTTAATTTTAATTAATTTAAATTGAAATAGCTACATAGCTGGTGGCCATCATATTGGACAGTGTGATTCCAGGGCTCTGCGTTTACAGATGAAGCCACCAAGCCCTGTGAGCCCCTCCCCTCCCTGCAACTCCCATGGCAATTCTGAGGCTGGAGCTCTGGCCAGCCTGCTTGACCAGGTCCTATGATGTGGAAACATTTGAATTCTATGGGGGCTTCTTTGTTGCTTCAAGGCCCAGGTGGTTGAAAGGCATAGAAATGAAGGGGACGGAAGACCCACTTCCTGGTTCCTGAGAGGGACAGACACAGCAGGTGTGATCAGCAGCCCTGGTTGCCATGCCCCTCCTCCCTCTCACATCTCTCTCTCCTTTGAGGCTGCAGGTGGACCTCAATCACTCCCCCCTTATTCTTCCTTTTAAGACCACTCTTGATACTCATTTAGATAGATTTTCTTTCACCTGAAGAAAAAGGCTGAGTGAAAAAAGAGGAACCTCCTCTAAAAATTCTCAGAGGGGAGTGCCTAATACTTAGAATAACAGGATCTGGGGGATTTAGGAAAGCTTATTTACCCTGGCCCTTGGCCCTTGTGGTCAAAGAACTCTCAGACTATTCCTAGAATGAGACTGCCTCTCTACCCATTGGTCGGTGCCAGGTCTCATAGAATCATGACATTTCTGAGCTGGAAGAAATTCCATGATTCTAACAGAGGGAGTCTCAGAGGGTGGGGTTAATTTTTCCCTAATGAAACAGGTCTTTGAGGCTCTTGGGTAGAAAAGGCAGGAGTGGGGCACAGGGCAGATTCTCCCCAACTAGGTTTCATCTCACAGCTGGACCATAACCTCCTCCAAGGTAGGCTCTGGGTCCTGCGCATCTGGGTATCCTTTGCAGAATTTAGGACATTCCAACAGCCTCCTGACATCTCCCCTGGAGTCACTTCAAACTTTGCATGTCTGGGGTTTCCTCCTAAAACTTGACCCTCCTTGAGATTTCCCCATTTGGAGGGCACATTCTCCACCTGATTGTTACCATGTTTCCCAATCCCATCTGTAGAGTTCTGTAGATCTTATTCCAAAACTTCCTTAGTCTGTCTGTCCATTTCTCTCCCCCTCCCCTGCTACCAGTCTGGGCCAAACCATCATCTCTCTCACTTGGATTAATGTAATTAACCCCTAAGTGGTTTCCCTTCCTTCATGATCTGTTCTTCACAAAGTCACGAGAGTGCTCTTTCTGAAGATCAAATCATGTCACTCCCTTGCTTAAAACCTTCCAATGCCTTCCCACTGCTCTTTAAACAATATCTAAACTCTGATATTGCCTACAAGACTCTTAAGAAGCTGGCCCTGCTGATGTCTCTGATTTCAATGGGAATCACTTCTCCCTTAAATATGCTAAGCTTGTCCCACTCGGGGCATTGCATCAGCTGTTCTGTCTCCTTGGAATGCTCTTCCCCTAAAACTTTACATGGCTGGTTCTTTCTTTCATCAGATCTCAGCCCAAACATCATGTCTTAGAGAGGCCTTCCCTGACCTCCCAGGACAGAGCATTCCTCCCCTTCACCATTCATTCTCTACCTCATCACTCTTTCTTTTTCTTTATTTCTTTTTTAAATTCTTCACCCAAGGATATGTTTACTGATTTGAGAGAGGAGGAGGAGAGAGAGGGAGAGAGAAAGAAAACATTGATGTGAAAGAGAAACATCAATCAGTTGCTTCCCCTACATGCCCTGACTGGGGAATCAAATCCGAAACCTAGGTATGTGCCTCGACCAGGAGTGGAACATGCAACCTTTTGGTGTATGGCACGACTCTCCAATCAACTGAGCCACCCAGCCAGGGCTACTCTTTATTGTCTAAGCAACATGGTTTATTTATATTCTCATTTATTGTCAGTCTCACACCATTAGAATGTTTAGTAGCAGGCAAGGGGGTTGAGATCTGATCCCTAGCACCTAGAATAAATAGTACCTAGCACACAATGGGGTGCAATAAAGAAATACTTGTGAATTCTATGTGTCAGCCACTTGAATGGGAAGCAAATTCTACGAGATCACTTTGTCCCTTGCCTCTGGGGTTCAAGATCTTGCTGAACAACCTTTTGCCATACCGAGCCCTGCCCTCTCACAGATGCTGGGCTTGAGGTCCTAGAGATTGAGCTGTTGTGAAGGATGAGCACGGGCATCCTTAACAACAAATCGACTGTGTCCTGCCATGCCCAACAGCTGTGCCCTTGGCTTTAATCATTTCAAATCTTCTGTTCAACTCCCAAAAGAATCCTGCTTTTCCACCCCAGACACTGAGAAAGCCCAGCCTTCTCCCTTGGGAGACTCACCAGGGCAGCTTGGGTTCTTGTTATGGTCCATTTGATTGCTACCTTGGGTGGTTGGCTATTGTCAGAGCCTCAGTGGACCTTCACCTGGGGGAGCACTAGGCTGGCTGCCCTCCTCCCAGCACTTCCTAATAAGCCTTCTGTGTGCAGGAGGTAATACCTCATGACACTGTTCACAGGCAGGCTCAGAACTAACTCATGGTGAAGAGAGAAATCCAAGCACAGGGGCACAGGGAATGAGTGGCACTTAGCCTTTTAGGGCAGCTTCCCCCCAACCCTCATGGATTATTAAGAGACCTCCCCCAAGAGAACCAAGATGGCGGCGTAGTTAAATGCAGGTACACACTGCCTTCCACAACCACATCAAAATTACAGCTAAAATACAGAACAACTATCATTCAGAACCATCTGAAATCTGGCTGAATGGAAGTCCTACAACTAGAGAAGAAGAAAGCACATTGAAACCTTGGAATTTGTAGAACGGGCTGTTCCAACACCCATGTGTGGTGTTTCTTTAATCGGGAGGGATATCTCCAAGGCCTACCATGAGAAGCAGGGAGTCCCAGCCCCACACCAGCCCCCCAGCCCAGGTTCCAGAGCTGGGAAGAGAGTCCTCATAACTTCGAGCTGTAAAAACCAGCCAGGCATTGTGGCTGAGTGACATGGAGGCTGCTGGAGACCCAGGTGTTCCTCTTAAAAGGCCCATTTCCTCTGAGCTCCAGTGCCTGGTGGCTTTGAAGGAATCCAGGGATATATGGAGGAACTGGACTGTCTGGCATGTGGCAGGAACTCAGGGATGGCTTTCTCCCAGACAGGGGTGCTCACAGGGGTTATTCTTCCTGTGCTGGGACCTCCTCCATCATAGAGCTAACTGGAAGCCATATCTGAGTTTTCACCAGCATGGCCCACATTGTTCGTTTCGCCCTGGATTCCCCGAGAACCTGCCCCATCCAATTTGCAGCCCCACACAAGCTGTTTGCAATGGCTTTGCCATATGAATGGCCTGTCCTGATTCATGCTTCAGACTTTCCAAAAATCTCTCAAACAAGCAGCATCTGGTATCAGCGTGCCCCAAAACTTATCAATAAAAGGCTCATGACCTGGTACTACCACCAGCCTG